CCGCGTAACTCGGGAACTGCCTGTAATTATCTGATAAAATAGTCCAACAATTCCCCTCCCCCATTTTTACCCACCTGGCCAAGTGTTTTGTGAATATTTGCAAATAAATATGGATTTACACAACATTTTTCAAATACATTTTGGAAATGTTCCCCTGCAGTATTCACCAAGCTCTGCCTGCTAATTACTATATCAGGAGATAGTCTCCTGCATTCGCAAGGGGATATAGATTTGGCGCACGAAGATTTCTTTGCCAGCTTCACCTTATAAGTTTGATTTTTGCCATTTTTTTCCGTAACTCTGGTCTCCCTCTAGATCAAATTCACTATTTCAGTTTGTTTATGTGTTCCAAACTGACTTATTTAGCAATCATACAAATGGATCAGCAACCTGCTAGAAAAGAACACGCCTGTTGTCCTCAGAGATTGTTAAAGAATACCGGTAAAAGGCAAGAAACAATAACAGTGCAGAGAAGACTTTCTTTGACCTGGCTTCCTTGCGCTAGGTTGTATATTTTGATTATTTGCTGGTATTAGAAAGACTGGGTTATTTGCGGGCTCTCATGTCCATCCTCCACCCCGGGACGTTTTTCTTTCAGTTAGATACCTGTACAGGTTGGACCTTCTTGGTCTGGCACCCTCGGGACCTGGTCTTGGATGGGGTTTTTTGCCGGACCAAGGAAGGTCATTTCTTGGCCACACCTGGTCACTGCCCCTCCCAGCCATGGCTTCGCTGCTGCCTCTCAATGACTTCCCCCTGCCTTTGGCCCCTCTACATGCAGGGCTCCTGGCCCCACTGTGGGCAGCACCCAGAACTCCAGTGCCAGGCTCCTTGCTCCTCCAGCAGCCCCACAGGGTGACAGCTCTGCTTGGGCTTCAGCCTTGCTTGACAACCCTGCTGCCTCCCAGCCTCACCAGGGCAGGACCGCGAGGCAGCAGCGGAGCTACCAGGCTCTTGGCTGCACTGCTGGGCAACTGCCCCACTCCTCTGTACCCGGCCCCCCCACCAGGCAGCCCCGTGATCAGGCTCCCAGCCCTGCGGGCAGCCACGCTGCCTCCTAGTCCTGCTGCTCAGCTGAGGTGCTGGGTGGTAATGGGGCTGCCGAGCTCCTGGTTGTGCTGCCGGGTGGCCCGGCTGCCTCCCAGTCTCGCTGGGCAGTTTCGCTGCTGGGCTCCAACCCAGCTGTCTCCTGCCCCTCCCCCCACAGTGTCGGCATTGGGCAGCAGCTCTACAGCTGGGATCCTGTTTTGCTGCCACAAGGCAGGCCCACTACTGGGCTCTAGTCCCTCTGCAGGGCTCCCAGTGACTTGCCCTCCACCAGGAATCTCTGGTTGTGGGTCATCCGTGGTTCTGCCAGACCAGAGAATCCGAATTAAGAGATGTTCAACCTGTAATTAATAAAAATACTAGACTGGGAGAAAAGGTGGTTCCTTCCCACCCTCCCCCCCAAAAAAGAGGTGTTAGCAAACACATTTTAACTCTACTGAATACAGGGCAAATTGTATTTTAATGTGGATTAGCTGGCTAAAATGAACGCTTTGGAGGAACTCTGGTTACAAACACAACCAGCTAATATGGTTGTAATAATGTCAAACCTGCTACATCCCGTGTTAAGGGATGCGTGACCTTACCTGAGTTAGCAAGCTCATTTTTAAAAAAGTACTTCCGTTGAAAAAGGAAGAGCTCAGTGAGTCAGCAACTTCTATTGATTTGACAGATGAACTGAGAAAAGGAAGCGTGTAGGTTACACTGAGCAGAACTGAATATCACCCTTTTCACCTTTATTTTCTTGATGCTGAATTGTCACATGAGAACACGTGGCCATCTTCTGACACAATCTACTCAAGATAAACAAAACAAAGCAGCTACTGACACACCTATCATCCCACCATCCTCTAATACTCATCCCCTTTCTCAAGGCTACAGGAGGAGAGTCCATTGAGCAGGGAAGTTTCTTCTTACTTCTCCTTCCAATATCAGGGTCTGAAACTGCAGGGACTAGATGGGTGTCTGAATAGCAATTACACACAAATGCTACTAAGAATGTTAAACTGTGCTAACAGAATATTCATGCTCTTGGTGGAACTAATGATTCAATTTGCTCACCCTCCAGCCAAATGACAGTGGGATTACTGTACCATCCTCAACCAGGGCCAGGATCTGGCCCTGCCCCAGAATTCTTTAACTGCGTGGAATCATCCGCCACACTCTTGTGCATAGCCTGTTCTTTCCCAATCCCAGAATGCCACTCTTCAGCAGCTCAACGCTATGGGGATGACCACAGTGGGACAGGGACTACATGGTAACTTCATATCTGGACAACATTTAGTGCAGTGGATCCACAACAATTCTTTGGGGGCTCCCAGACCCAAATACATACAAAAAACTCTACATTATGATTATAAACTTTGAAGCAGCAAACATTTAACAAGGATAACTCTCATTTCTCTCTGTTCTATCACACTAGACACATAGTACAATTTTAGCCTGAAGAAGCACATTTGCACAACCTCAGATCCAGAGTTAGGGTGCTTTACATTTCTGCCAGTTTATTCTCTAAATAGGATGTATGCCTTGAGGGCTAATTGATCATTTTGTTCCCACACAGCAACACATCTGGGTTGTTATTGAAAGGAAGAATAAAAGTATTTTATAGAGAAATGCAAAAAACAATATTCTTATTTATGTTTTTTTAAGACTGGCTGAAGAAATGTAAACTAGAAAGCTGTGATATTATCAAAATAGCAGCATGTGATATTTCTATAGCTCATTTGCAATTTCTGAGACACAGTACTTGTTACGCTTCTGATTATAGTTATAGTTCTCTGACTGCCCATTTTTATCCATGGGGAACTTTCAAAATAATTATAGCAAACAGAACTAGTTGCACGATACAGCCATCATTAGAGCCCTACTATTAAATCTAAACATGGCAAATTACATTTGAAGCAAATGTGGGTATTTTATAATATATAATGCACAGCTACCGTAAACTGGAATGAATGTAAATGACCTTTTTGACTAAGAACTGCCACATTAAGATACAAACCTCTTATGTAAAATACAAGAGAGTCAATAAATACAATACCTCAAATACTGAAATCCAAAATTTTTGCCCTTTCATAGGTACAACACATTTAATGATGTCTCTCTTATAAGTCCTAATCCTGTACAGTGCTGAATGCTTTTCGAGGGATGTTTCCACTGATTCCAGTGGGGATTGAGAGAGACCAACTCCTTGTAAGTATCCCTCAGGACTTTCTAGGATAGGGCCTTAATTAAGCCCTTTCCTCATAAAAGATATCAAAGTGTTTCATAAACCTCTTGGAATATGGCAACTATTTAATAGCACACAGGAGGTTTACAGAAAGCAATCATATATATTGAAACTGACTAGGGAATGTAGGCAGAATGTAATCGTCCAGGTTGAGGTTTGGCACAAAATCCAACTGGTTTTCAAGAAAAGTGCTACAAGATTATTATTTATCACGTGACAAGGCCTTAGTTTTACATCTCATCTGAAAGATGGCGCCTTCTAACACCATGGTGGAATGTCAAGTTAGTCAAACTGATGCAGAGAGAAGAGCACTCCTACTGTATTAATATCACCAACTGCTTTCGGTAGCTTTTGAGATCTTTCATGGAGGTTTCCCATTCCAACACTAGGCATGTCTAATGCAACTTGTCCTGTGAAAAATGATAGTCCTGGGGTCTTTGTACATATTCACATATGTCTAACAGTGAAGAACTCTCTTATTTATTTTCAGTGAATGTATTGTATTTTAAACTCTGAAGCCTAAATATGGCAATTGGTAATGATAGATTTTGCTTATACTTTTTTTTTTAAATCTCCCAGTTGAATGAAATCTATACTCTTTTTGATTTAAAAAATGTACATGACTACCAAACTGATTCACACAGGAACTGAGTTAAAAGTTATGCAATTATTCGTTTCAAATCAAATTCACAATGGGACCAGAAATTTCCAAGACACTTTTCTCAGCATTAGAGCACATTACTAGAAGCAATTGCTTTTCCCTAAAGTCTACAAAAAGCAAAAGAAATGATCAAACAGCTTGTAAATTGACCCATTATTTCTCATCCAGTATTACTGCCAAAAGCATTTTTAAAAACATAACCACTCTCATTGCCATTAAATAGAGCATTAAACAAATTATATTTAGCATTAAAGCAAACATGAGAAAACTGAGACAATATTTATATTGCAACTTGAAAAGAGAAAAAGTGTATTTTATTTGCTTACCTCTTCAAATTTTAATGCAATCATAGAAAAAGCCTTAAAAATTGCATCTGTTGGACCTGTTATTGTCACAATTCTTTCTGGACAGGAACCTTCTGAAATATTGATTCGAGCACCACTCTGTCAAACAAGAGCAAATATTTTTAAAGACCTTTTTTTGGGGTGGAGGGAGCAAAGTAGGGAGGATTCTACTTATCTGTCTATCTAGCTAGGTACTTACATGACTCTCTTCACTGTGATAGGTGATCAGCACCCAAGTAATTAAAAGTAGCAATTGCAAAATCAGTTTTATCATTCTCCCTTTCCTATGTACAGAGGTGAACTTGAATGGGACTAAAAGCAGACTTTTGGGTATGAACAATTTTTATTCAGCAAGGATCAAATACAAAAAAATCATTTAATCTAAACCGTTCACTTTAGAATGGTCTGTCTAGTTGGGGGTCCAGTTTTCTGAATAGACTAAGTAGCAAAGCACTAGGGGCCCTATCTTATAGGTCTTTAACGTATACCTTAGACTAAATTATTCTAATGAGTGCTTAGTACAAACTTACAGCAGGTAGATTCATGTTTACTGTACACCCTTCCTAAAGAACCATTCAGTAACTGTAAGACGCTAGTAACACAATCATGTCCCCTTCAGAGGAAGAGCCAGCAAGAAGGAAACAGGAAATTAGACATCTGGGAGACAGAGAGCCTGATTCTCATTTATACCATGGTCCCTATATTTCATTCCGGTGGTACAGATACCCCTTAAAGTGGGTATACAACTCATACAAAGAGTACTTAATATAATGGGAATCAGACCCAGATGGTTCAGGGAAGACTGCGACGGGCTTTTTTAAATTCTTGCACTTACCGCTGTTGAACCAGTTAAGTGTATCATGACAGCAACCAAATATGACAAGACATACTAATGGCAAAATCCTCCTGTCACTGAGTCTCCTGACAGGAATTCTGAATGTCTGCAAAGAGGCAAGGGCAGCAGATGCTTAATCTACTTTTGCTTGGCAGGTGGACTGCAGAGTTGTGAATCTACCTTGGGGTGGGGGATTTCCAGATACTCACTAATCATACATCAGCATTTAATCAATAGCCTAGTTTTAAGCTGGTTCAAAGTGGCTGGCTTCAGTTACCAAACACAAAACAGGTTCCTTAGAGCAACGAGTTTTTCTGCTTCAGTGGGACTTTGAGTGGGCACAGGAGTTTGCCCATGCAGAGCTGCTCGGAGGATCAAGGCACTAGGTGTTACTCAGCCTGATAATACTCACAACATTCGCTCAACGTTAGCGGAAGTACTTTTTATATGAGCAAGCTTGTGATGCTTTATGTGAAAGACTGTCCCACAATGCACTGTTGTGTTCAATGTCTTGCAAAAAATCATACATGGCAAAAGATCTTGTGACTGTTATTTGGCTTTTGGTCAAGTCAAAACGATTGAATTGGAGAGGTTACATTCTACAAGAAAGCAGTGGGAATGCTGGTATTCTGTGGCAGCTTTATCAATAAAGCGAAGGGAATTTCATTGGACTGTCGTTTGCCACTCCTGAAAAGACAGTGTGTGACTTGCTATCTGCCCTATGCACCAGAGAGGTCTAGATGAAAATAAGTGTCTTCTATGTCTTTAAAGGAAAGTGCAAAAGAAAGCTGTCAATTACAGGAATTATATGTAATATTCTGCTCACTACTTATACATCATTCACTTCAGAGTTTGAGGATTAAGATGATATGTCTCCATATGGTGTTTATTCAGAAACTCTTTGCCCTTCCAGTGTTGTCAGGAGTATGAAGAAGAAAATTCCATCTACTGTGAAAAAATGAGGGTTTTTTAATACTTAACCGTTTTGATTTTAGGGAGCAAGGAATACGTTTTCAGAAAAAGAGTTGTGTGTGTTTGTGTGTATGGGCGGGGGGAAGAGAGAGGGCTTTCCTTTTGTAGATTCAACATGCACACACAAAATCTATGCCCAGGGGAGCAAACAGCCTTGAAGGAAAGGGCGGAGCCTTCTGCAGAAGGGGCGAGACCAGGTGCAGCCAGCCCTCAGTGGCTCTGATATGTGGCACCCTCTCCCCCCAGCCCTCAGCATTACCTGGGAGCACGCCACTCGGTGCGTCAAGGGCCTGAGGCTCTGTGCACTGCCACTGCAGCAATGGCAGAGCCTGGGAGCCCCAGGACCTTTGGAATCACTGGGCTCTGGAGCGGTTGCCCCTTTTGACCCCCCATCAGCAGGCCTGTCTATGCCCACAGTTTTGCCCTCCCCTGTGGGCACAAATCTGAGTTGATGGAGTGCTAGCTGCCTGTTTGAGGGAACAGCAAGACCAGTACCTGCAATTCATGTGAATGAATTGATTATTGTTTGTTTAATGACTGGTCAGGGGCATGTGGAGTGTCTGAAACACACCACTCACTTCTTTCACAAATCTATACACATACGCGTATTTAGAAAGTCAAAACGTCAGTGAAAGCTGTATCTGCGAAAAGAACTCTGACATCAACCAGGCTGAAAATAAACTCTTCCGTGCATGTAGATGAAGGGCTCAACAGACTATTCTTCTATGCCATACGTTTTAAAATTTCTTCATGGGAGACTTTCTACAAGTGCCTAAAAACAAAGCAATGGGCAAATATACATTGCAGAGACCTCTAAAAAGACAATAGATTGTTCTTTGGTTTGAGCCTAGAATTGAAAGCAAGAAGGGATCACCAGAGCATATAAATGTGACCTCCCATATAGCACAGGCCACCAACACAACACAGCACCTGCACATTAAAACCAACCACTGAAATTAGACTGAGGGACAAGGGACTACTTTACAAGGGACTAAACTATTATGTGCCACAGGTAGAAAATAGGAGGGACTAAGGTGCACCAAAACCTAACGCCCTTGCAATGGCAGAGAACTGACTGAGATAGTCCCAGTTAATTCTGGCATATGAACCTCACTCCACACTGCAGAGGAAGGCAACAATACCTCCAGGTGACTGCCAATCTGTCATAAAGGAAAATTCCTTCCAACCCCACATTTGGGATCAGATCGATCTTGAACATGTGAGCAAGAACCAGACAAGCACTCAAGAGAGAGAGAATGCTCATAGCTCCAGCCCTCATTGTCCAATGTCCTAGCTCCAACTGAGGCCACCTTTGATGCCACAAACAAAACAACAATATGGATTCCTGCAGGTGACTAGCTGAAACCTTGAAGCAGAAGATTTAGAGTCTGGTTCAGACAGGCCAATGGGAAAGTAAACCTATGAGCACCCAAGCCTAGGAAGCTGATTTAGACTAAGATTTATGCAATATCAGCTTTGACACAAAATCCAAACTCCAAGAGTGGGAAAAGGGCCTTTTTTAAATCTTTACAGTGCTTGTGACATCTCCAGTTTGCAGGTCTATCTTCTTATCTCTAACTACTGACAAAGGGAGTGGTTAGAAGTGAGCCTGTAGGGAGGCGGGGTGGGGGAGGCAACAGACTTGCTGGGTCCCTAAGCAAGGTGTGTGGGGGCCAGCTCTGCATTCCTGGAAGGGGCAGGGCCCCAGGCAGAAGGGGCAGGGCTGCAGGCAACCAGCCCTCAGTGCCACCCCTTTGAGCTGCCTATAGTGTGCCGCATGGTGCTCTGGTGGTGTTTTAAAGGGCCAGAACTCGGGCCGATACCACATCTGAAATAGCAAGAGCTGGGAGTTCCATGCACTCTTAAATCGCTGCAACCCAGGGCACCTGCCTTCTTTCCTCCCATTTGTTGGTGGGCCTGAGGCTGCACCATATGACAACTCTGGCATTGAGAGAGATTGGCTCTCAACTTTGTGGCTGACCCCCATTTTCTATTGTGTGTCAATCCAAATCCCTGGATTCAACACCCATCTCTAGGCCTGAACTTTGGAAACTTTAGTTCTGGCGCTGAACTCCACAGCCTGCAACCATGCCCAGGAGTTATGAATGTGTGTCAGTGGAGTATCAATGGAAGAAAAGACCACTAAAAAGAGGTTCTGTGAGACACAGAATCTTACTGACTAAATAAGCTCTGAGACAATAGGGTTATAGGCATATTGCTGTAGAAACAATCCACTTTTAGTTTGCTTTAAGGGGTATAAAAACCCTGAGATAGATTTTCTTAATATAAGCTTCCCAGAAAGCAATTTAATTTTTGCCTGTACATTTATATACTGACACATAGTTGATATTAATCTTTCCAGCCACTTGGTGGCACTGTTATTCCATACGGATCTAGCTATACTCTAATAGAAATACAAATGAAGACATCAACGTTTATCTCTTACCTCCTCCCTCATCTTCTTTACTGTCTCCCCTTTCTGTAAAATAAATGGGGGAAAATTAGTCCCTCCTGTAGTGGTCAATTGATATAAAATATTGAGACATGAATTTTTTTTTAAAAATCTTAAAGTAAATTACTGACCTTACCAATAATGCTCCCAACCTCCTGGAACAGGGGAAAAAGCACACAGAAATTGAATATTCATGAGCACAAAATGAAGACATGTTGTTCATTACACAATAGTTCACTATAAATTTCATTCCAGAAAGAAAAGTGGGCAGGACAGACCAGCTACATTTCACAATAACTACATTTGTAATCCATACAAATACATAGGTGCTGGAACTGGAGGTGCTGGGAAGGAGGAGGGGGGCTGCCGTTCTCCCTGGCTTAAAGCGGTTTTCCTAATATTCAGGATTCACAGTTTAGTTCAATGGCTCTCAGCACCCCCACATAAAAAAATGTTCCTAATAAGCACTATACAAAGGAATGGACTAAGAACTTCTGTTGCAATATATATACACATTACACACAGGAGTTTACTGCTGTCATGGGGAAAGCCCTTCTGCCTCAAAAGTAGCCCTGAGCTAATGCAGCTTTCTGTCACTATAAATACCAAGATCTTATTTTGGGGAATAAGAGATTCAGAATTGACTGAGCTGAACAATCTGCTGGGAAAATTGGGAAAATGCAGCCTTCACATCTAGTGGTGATCTCTTTGAAGGCAGACACTTGTTCTTTCACCAAGTAATGGATAGAAGTGGGTTATGTGAGATCAGGAATTACTGTATCAGCAGCTGCTGGCCTATCCTTCTCAAGCCCTGCTTCCCAAAGCAGTGATTGCTAATCAGCTGTTAGATGCACTGCGTGGGGCCAACAGGTTACTAAAATCCTACTTGCAGTGGTATAAAATGTCCAGAAAAAAACCTTCAAACATGCAACACGAGGATGATGTGGAAATCCAGATCAATCCATGCACTTGTCGGAGACAAGACCAGCTAAGGGAAAAGCTAACTCATATTCTGTGGTTATTCTCTAAAATCACCTTCCACTGCTTAAAAAAAATTAGACATAATTAATCTGATCTGGAGATGCAATCTGCAGCTAGTAATTTCACCTAGTTCTGAATCACAACCACCAGAGTAGATGTAAGAAATTACTTTTTCCTGTGAACAAGGCTCATTTCATGACAAAGGGCTACTAAATTCACCTTCACATTTCAAGGCTGGTGCAATGACCTTGGGGAAGTTCTTTCTTTCCAATGAATAATTTATACACATGCAAAATGAAGCAGATAGGGCTTGCGGCTCTTCTAGCCAACATTGAGGGCAGTTGCAGATGTTCTGTGAGCGGAGGAACTCCAGTTCCGCAAGCTGCTTCAACATATGTTTAAATCCCATTTATTTTGATGGGATATTAGCATGTGCTTAAAGTTAAGCATGTGCTGAAATGCCTTGATGAACAGGGCCTCCAGTCTGCCTCTACACTGACTGCTGATGAACCTCGAATTTCTAAAGTTTATTCTCAACAGTTAGCTCCCTTGTTTTTGTTTTCTTTTTTATTGTCCTTCCTGATAGCTGCTTGGAAACTCTACCTCATTCCCATAGAGTGCTGGCCTGTATTCAGATGTGCTTCTTATGTGTTTTGTGGAGACACAATTTTACGCACTGTGTGGTGTGGACCTATAGGCACAGATATTTATGTAGGTGTTATTGTGCTTCTTATTGTGTTAGCTTACATGTTAAGTACCTTATATGAGTGTATCTAATGATCAATTTATCTATCTATCTAGACCTTCAGGAGTGTATTAATTTATATCTGCATTTACACAAATGAATCTATATACATAAAAATGACCATTTATTTTCTAGCAGCCTAGTTAGTAGCTTGTCTTGACCAGGAACACGTGAGACTGATTATGAAAAAAGGGGGGAAATCTGTTTAATAACAAGGATCCTAAATTCACAGGGTTTTTTTGGACAACACAAGAAAGTCAAAATAGAAAGTTCTTTCCTGGGGCTGAATTGACAGCTCTCAGTTTGTCTGCACCAGTCCTCTCTTCAGTCAGCTCTGGTCTACATTAGGACTTTATTTCAAAATAACCCCACTTAGGCTGAATTTTTAAGCAGAGCATCCACACTGTTAAGCCAGCCAGTTATTTTGAAATAACGGGCTGCTTAATTCAAAATCTGTACTCCTGCTTTTCATCAGGAATAACGCTAATTCTGAAATAGTTATTTCAAAATAATGGTAGTGTGGATGCTCTGATGCTGCTATTTCTCTAAGTCCAAGGTAGTGTGTCCACAATAACGGAGTCTTCCTGGGACTAATTTTGAGGCTTCCCGGTGGTGTGGACATGCTAATTCGAATTTGTTAAATTGGGAGTTATTAAGTCGAATGTACTAAGTTTGAAATAGTTTCCTAGTGTAGACATGGCCATAATGAAACAGGATGTATTTTGTAACTATGATGGGAAACCCTTTCTTTTTTCTCAGAAATCAGAGGGTTCTTTAGCCAATTTGGAGAATGGGTCTTGTTTTGAGTCTTCTGGGTTTGACAAACTTTTAATGGTTACTTATATAGCTCAATGTTTATTTCATATAGATTCTTTTGTCATTAAGGATAATGTTTAGTGCTTTCTGGAATATCTAACATTATTTCTACAATGTTGAAGTTTTACTTTTTTTTTCAAGGTGATCTTTAAAGACTTTTTCCCTTAGTACAGCATTTCTACAATTTACTTACTGCAAAAATATATTATGCTATTTTTGGTAGATTAGGATACCTAGATTCATTTTGATAAATTCAGCTCTGATGCAAATGGGAACAACTTCCATTGATGTCAGCTTGGTGTTTGATTGAGATGCCCTATAGTATATATATATATAAGTTTATATATTTATGTAGCAAAAATTTGGTGCATTATATTTTCCACTGCTCACACAAACTATATCTAAGTACATATATTTGTTTCATATGGCACATTTTAGATTGATTTGCTTTCCTATTGTTTACTCATTAACATATTGGAAAACATAGCACAGCAACTATTAAAACTCTTATCAACTGGAAATAACAGGAGCAATTATTCTTAGTTCATAGGAATACTTTTTTGATGGCATGACATGTAGAGTGTTTACCTGTTTACATTTCTTCAATACACCCCATAGTGCCTTCAAAAAGCACCCTTTGACTGTCTTGTCCATCAGGGACTAAATGCAGTGTAATATGGGTATGGAATCAGTGTCCATAGCAGTATGGCATGTAAGTTATTACTGCTACTCTGTGGAAACTACATCCTATAGAAAGTGGTGTGTCAGGCTGCAACAAGTGATGCACTCCACAGAGCCATGCATAATACCTACTAATCCCAGATCCAGCTTCTGACACCTGAAAAAGTTCAAAAGTGAAAAAATGCTGCCTCCCTTGGCCATCTAAATTTTTCCATAGAAGTATACATAAAAAGTGAAATTTTCTAAAAAAATTGACTAAGTTTTGCGACTACTTACCCAGCTCCTTCAAACCAGCAAACTCATGACATTTGCTTCTCACCAATTGTTTGAATGTCTGATAAGATCAAATAGCCTAAAATGCTATTTTTTTCTGTCTTCTATAAATAAGCAAAAGGCTGTCTTGTTGGCCTGTACTCTCTTCATAGCCATCAACTTCCATGCCCCGTGCATCAATTTTCAAAACATATGATTGAAATGGTGTCTATACATATGTCTACACTGCAGCCAAAATATCTAGTCACTTTGGAAAATCCAATACTGTTGACCTGAGTGTATCATTTTGTTGATTCAACGATATTTTACATTGTGTCTATGAGCATGCTTCTCACTAGTAAGCGGTGTCTAGTAGTTAAAATGTAACACAAACAACAAGATGCAAACCACATCATTACCCATATGTTACTAGAATATGGACTCTGTTGGCAGTCACTGGTTTCTTCTACAAAAAGTGTACTGGATACATTGTTTTTTTAATTTTTCCATTATTCAGTCATCATTTCAGTGGGAGAACAGAAGGAAAAGCAATGTTAAAAATGAGGGATGTTTTACTTAACACTACAAGGTAGACACACACTATTATTTTCCACAACTAATTCACATGATGGATTAGATATGGGATGCAGTCCATGCCAAATGAGCAATCCAGAGGCACAGTGTCTTAGCAATAGAATAGCATAGGTAATGCGTTCTGTTTTGTGCTAACGAAACAGCAACATTAAAACAAAACCCAACTCCTTACAATTCAAGTGACTGACAGAAATTTTGACAGTGCAATTGACTAATCTGGACTTCTGAAACACTCAGTCAAACTGTATGAGAGAGTGCTATTTCCCTAATCATTATGCCTCCTGCATAGCAAGGAAAACAAATTAGTCATGTTAAAAACCCCAGAAAGCTTAATAATGGTAACAAAGCCTGACATAAAAATTAACCTTTAGACTGCTAACATGATGTGTGAAGCGCCATCATTTTTCTCAACATTGCCAGTTTAATAATCATTATAGCACCATCAATCTCAAGAATAATTACTAAAAAGGAGCCCTCCCCCACCCTTACAATAAACCAGCTATCATTCTGTTATAAAATCCTGCTACCAACTTTATAGTGTTGTTGATAGGAGCCTTAATCTAAATTCATTCATAGACATGAAAACCATTTTAAAGGTCACAATAATATCAGACATTTATGCTTTCATCCCAAAACATTTGCTAAACTACAAGAAACAGCCTAAAGTCTTTATTCTCTTATTACTTGAGTAAGCTACTGTTGAACTTTGATATTAATTTTGCACCAGCAGAAACATCAGGATTTTGCCCAGTATAAAGCCATTATTAACGTACCTGGAAAAAAAAAGACACGGTGAATTACGTGTACCATAACTCAGTTCATCTACCTTGAAAGAACAAATGATCGAATCAGTCACATTAAGCGATGATCCATATTTAGGAATTCAGAATCTGCTTCTTAAGACCCCAATTCAGCAAAGTACTTCAGGACTTGTCTTCAGTGAGCATACTCCTGTGCTAAAAGTTAGGCATATGATTGAGCACCCTCATCAGTTTCTACAGTTAACTGACATTTAAGTTATGGCCATTCTGACAGAGAAGACACTATTCCATCTTTTTGTTTTGCCTGTATATCACCTCCTATTTT